ACAAAGCGTACACTTCAATATGTCAAGAATGTTGACTTCTCATTCTGACATAAGTTGAGGAATGTGTTATATGTCTGTGGTCAGATACGTAGAATCCGAAAACCAATCCTATTTCTTCCTACCACCCATCATTGTAGTCACGTTTCAGGAAGCATTTTTTGAAGTTCACTGCAACGTCGCTAACCAATGGAGCATGTCTGCGCCTAATCAAGAAACCATGTGCTCTCACTGTCTCTGTTTCATCTACCACATCCCTCATTTTTCTGCTCCGTTTCACTTTTCCACCATCCTGTTCATTATTCATTTGTCTCGATACAATACACATTTTCCAAGTGAGCAAGACTATTGCTCGTCTGGAAGAAACAGTAAAAAGGTTCAATTTGGTACTTTGCGCGTTTAACTGATTTGCGGCGAAGACCGGTGCGTTGTAGAGAAAATGAAATTCCAGATTCGGATCCTGCATATCTGACTGCCTACAAGTAACGTATTCTTTTCTCGCATGAGGAGGAAAAGAAAACTTTTGCAGACCGTAAAATTTGTGTTTTTTCAGATTTTTTAGTTTTTTTCAGATTTAATGATTTTTCAGACCTTGATGGATATTTGTCAAAAAACATACGTGGAGGCAAAAAATAAGTTCATCTGCGGATTTCGCCTATGAATTAATGCTCCAAAGGGGGCAACTGCCCGTGTGCGATTCCGCGAGGCAACCATCGTGGTGATTTCTGATGAATCATCCCCCAGCGAGTGTGGAAAATATTCAGTCCCACCGGATACATTTGCTTGATGGGGAGGAAGGGGGTGGGGGGATAAATTTCCTTAATCGAATTTCCACAGGTGTGGAAAATTGCGTAGCTCCTGTGGGGATCCCTACTCTTTGTCTGTAGCTTGGGGAATATAATTTATTAAAGTTTTTGGGGCGACTCTCGGAATACGACTACGCAGACTGCATTTAGTTGCGCATTGTGGCAACGAAAACTTGTCGAAACGAGGCAGCAAATCTGACTGCTGTATCGTCGCGATGTAAGCCTTGGAGTAATCTGTGCAGTCGAATGAACTAGTGTATGGTAGAGAATATGAACTGAAAAGGCAGACCAATGTTCAATGTGCAGTTCACAAACTCAAAGCTGACATTTTCTCATCATTATCATAAAAAAAGTCATAATTAAGTCTCAGTCCCGACTATTGAATGTTGATGCGATATTTTTCTGGTGAAGACAGAACTTTTTTTTGTTCCAGAGCCTGAGTATAACGGCTTGTAACACTTACGCACAGCGTTTCTTACGATAAATGAATCAGTTCTATGTGATGACGATGTATTACTGTTAGTTTTATTATGTGCAATCTACGGGGGCCCTGTAGGTGCGGCTGAATCTCTAAGAACGAAGGCTCGTACGGGATAGGGGAATTCCTCTGCGGTTTATCGTGATAACTCAGGCTCCGACGGGGTTGCGGAAGACTCAGCTGCGGGGTAGGACTGGTTCATATTCCGAAAATCACTGCAGAAAATGACGTTCTTGCTATTGTTTAGTTTTAGTTTGGCAATATAATTAAATGAATAAAATTTTGCGGCAATATACTTCAGTTTTATTTAAAGCAATTACCTGCATCGTAGTCCCGATTCATCACGTTCAAATAACAGACTGTTAAGGGAGAAATCCGGAGAATGCGACAATGAAGTGCCGAAGAGTGGAAATTTCTTGATGAGAAGCTACATGATTCGATCAGTGAATAATGCAGTGCAATTCGCACAGAACAATGCAATGCGATGCAGTGTGATATAATAAACACACTCTACGAATATTCTGCATTTTGATGTGGCATTGCCCAAATTCCAAAGACAACATCAATTCCAATGACAACATCACATTTCACAATGATCGTTCCTCATCTTACTCTTTAATTAAAAGCAAACTTTTACAAGGAAAATTGCTCTGGCGGTTGCTTGTCTAAACAAAATTATGGTCAACATTCGCTTCCGATCATATATACCAAGTACCCGAATGCTCTCTTTATGGAACGATAAAAATATGCGAAGGAAGATATCAATGTCTATTCACATCATTATTTTGGTTTTATGCACATCTCATCCGATACTTCGTAAGTGTAGCGATAACAAACGCATATTCAACTTAATTACTCACTCCACTCACCAATTCACTTTGATCAGCTTCTCTCATCGGATATCTGATCTTCGTCAAAACTCGCTCCTTCGGTTACAAATGAAGTTACTCGTAAGTCAACCTGAAGCGCTCAAGGTCGCTTATGCATGTAAAATTTCATCCACTGGTCTTTGTCAGTCCGAGAATCGCAAACACTGTCATGATTAGAGTACCACCACAGCAGTAGATTTGGGGCTAAAGAACTAGCAGCAAATCATAAACACCCTATCATACTGTGAACTTTTCTGAATAAAAATCGAAGACTGAATTTGCAATCTTCATTTAACATAATTTTTTGCAGAATTTTATTTGTATCATCAAATGAGCTCAGAGCTGTCATTTTTTCACTTGGTGGAAAATAATTGACGATAAGTAATTGAATTCCGAGATTTCAATAAAATTTTTGATTGACTGATCGCTTTTGTTCCCGAATAAAATATTCGAATGCCGTTTTCTGTTTGATGTAATTATCATTGGAACCGTCAGTCTGTTCCCACTATGTAGTTCAAAATGTTGCTGACAGAACCTGTTCCTTTCCTTTCCTGTTTCCGTTAACAGTTCAACTCAAACAGCTTGCTGGATTTCAAACCCATTGGACTAACTAAACTTTCCGATCGAAATATTTTGAATTTCAAAATTAGTTCGCGCTCGATGTTTCACACTTATCAATTATTTACAGCAGTATGCTGTAAAACACGTGATCTGATTCATTTTTGACATTGATAATGCCATATCAACATGACAGTTTTCGTTGAATAAAATGAATGGTCAACTTCACACAATTGTCGACATTGTCAATGTGTCACACAATATTTTCATTCAACTCACAAATTTTATAACATTGAATAAAAATTCTACGTTCAGAGGAACTAGTTCTCATGTTTCGATATATAATACCTGAAAATTGCTCATTTATTTACTGCAAATGACACAAACATTGTTTGAACGATTGTTTTCAGGGAATGTATACGACGAAAACAGTAATATTTCTAGACTAACCAATATGAATGCGAATATCCTATTTCAAGAAATTCAAGCCTTACAATGAAAATCGGATGTCCCAGCGGCAAGACTACGAGAAAATTCTTAAGGATTTCATTTCAACAGGATGTCATTCACTTCACACAAACGTTTCTTGCAGGTGGGTATCACACCCAAACGAATCAAATTCGCACAGGAACCAATTGCAAACAACATTCAGAATTATATTTGATCAGTGTATAATATTGATTCAGATGTCTGACGCAAACAATTCAGTGATCAGCTATACACATGTATCTTTGATTTTTATTTGTATGACAATTTACATATGGCGATGTTTCGCTGATCCGTAAGTATGCAAATAAACGGTTACGCAGTTGTTTTGTTGTCACATCCTATTACCATTGATACATTTTCGATGGATCAAAAATCGCACAATAACATACTCGATTAGATGATTCTGTTACAATCATACTGTTACAATTCTATCTCAATAGACTGTTGACGTTGTCGTTCGATAAAACTTCGAAATGAATTCAATTCGAATTCACCTGTAAAATTCTTTTGCTTTTTTGTCTAGAGTTTAATGCTAACTTGTGGTGTTTGAATGCTAGAAAATGCAATCAACAATGCATCCTTTGCTCATAATCAGATAATTCGGTCTTATCACAATGCTATGTCCCTATCAAAAATGTACTTAATGCTACGTGATAATAATGGAGTAATCACCCAGTGAATTAATTCTCTTAATGTTCAAATCATTCGCATTCATTCATTATAATCCTTCGTTGTTTGCCATTTGAAGCTGTCGCACCTCGTTTGATTTTTTAAGGTTCTCATTCTCGTTTCACACTTAATGCTTCACTTATCAATAGTTTATGGCAGTGTGGTGTGAAACACATGATATAATTCATTTTTGACACTGATAACGCCATATCAGCACAACAACTGAAAAAATGGGCATGACAACTTCGCTCAGCACTCAGTTCGTTGCAAATTGCTAAAAAGTCGTTAGCTGATGAGAAAAATAATGTCATGGACAGAAAACGCTATTGATAAAATCGGATTAATCGTATAGTGATGAGTTGTCAATGACGTCGTTCACTGATAACTCGTGATGCCCATCGTCATTTTGACGAGTGCTTTGAACGCATTATCTCGTGAACATTGCATGATAAATGTGATTAGATGCTTATCAATTTTCATTCCAAATTTGATACGTTCTCTTCGCTCAGTAATCAGTTACACACATATTCAAAGTTAGTTCTACTTCTTTCTTGAGATATATTTTCGTTGTGTTCAATTTCCATTGCTTACCACCGTTCGCATTATTATATTTACTTTCGAGCGGAGTAACATTCACGTTATTTGTACAGTTCTTTTAGTGGAGTAATTTTTCGTTTTCATCTACCTTTGCGAGGAAATTCCTAAGTATTACGTGATTCCACACTCTTGTTCATGTATCATAAAAGTGGTCAACATACAGCTTGCCTGAATTGCCTTTTCTAGCGGTCTTGAGTGGTGAGTGGAATGCAAAAAAGGTGAATCTGTTTCTCAGTTTATTGTTAACCTATAACGAAACCTCAATGCTTACTCGAGAAGTTTCAACGGAAGGTATCATTGATGATCTGCCGAACTCGCTCGCTCAAACCGTACCATAAAAAAAGCGCTTAATTCTGAAAATATTTTACTGTCTATATACCCTACATCATTCTCCAACATTCTTAATTTCACCATCCTTCTATCTCCTTCGCTCTCAACGCATTGTTTTCAGAGCACCAATGTGACAGTATTCATGTCGCTTTCGAATTCCTGTTGCGAATTCTTTAGATGATTCTGAACGAAAAAACTATTTTCAGAATGGAATCAGCCTCTAAAAAGAACAGCGCCACAAAGAAGGCGGCGCCATTGCGTGTGATCATCAATGTTTTGGATATTTTCATTGATTCCATTCGTCATCCTACCGTTGAACCAATTATATTCCTCGTTTATTTGGGTTGGATATTCAGTGAAACTTTACAATCGCCAGCTTTTTATAGACGGTGGGTATTCTTTATGGACGTTCCACCCGAATTGTTTCTTTTCATCCGAATGATCATTAACGAATCGTGATTAATAAACTAAACACATTGGGATGGCTGCCATAAAGTAATACTACAATCTTATGGCGTTCGAATCAACCGATTCTGTGACTGTCGTGCTTGAACATGAGTTCTTCCAGTGAAAAATCACTCTGTGATAAGATTTGTTGCATTCTTCGGAAGTTTTTCAGTCATTCACTGTCATTCATGTCATTAAAAGTGATCTTTGAAAGAGAGATAATGTGTATTTGCTCATCCGTAAAAGAATGTTTGGAGTGATGTAAGGAATGAGAGTGAAAGCATGAAAACTTTTGTGCTTTCTCAAAGCAAGGCTTCTTAACCGGGGGTGCTCGCCTCCCCCCCCCCCCCCCCCCCCCCCCCCCCCCCGCCTCCCCAAGTAGTGTGAGATGATGGTATTCCAGGAGGGTGCACGATAAGGTTTTATTATTTCTACACTAGAGTAGGCAAGGTTAAATTTCAACGCATATATATTACTAAAGTAAGCGAAGATGGACTTTGGACCTTTTAAATCGCTAGAACGTACCGTATGCTAATGGTGTACACTAATCTACACTATAAACACTCACCACAATGGATGAGGCATGCTGAGTGGATGTTATGGAGATGCGAGGACACTCTAACTATTGTTTGGGGGGAGGGCGGGGGTTGCGAGGACATTTCAAAATTTTCTAGGGGTGCGGGGTGATTAACAGGTTAAAAACCGCAGATTCAAGGTAAATGTGTTGATTACTTTGATAACAGTGACGACACTGATATTGATGATGATAATAGAAATGAATGTAGAATAATCGAACAGAAGAATGCGAATGATTGGAAATATTACAACAATAAGTATGATTATAATGATGATAATAATTGAAATAAGGATTCAGAGTTTGTGAATTATATTTCGGTGGTATTGCCAGTTGTTCGCCAATCCTTAATGCAACCGTCGAAGATGAAGTTCAGATGCACGCGGCTGAATGGTCACTTTTCACCAACCTCGCATATCTTCTGCCAGCTATATTCGTTGACATTCTTTTAGGTGGAATTTCCATATAATTTATAGTTTGACATATCAACTGTACTGGATTTTTCGTCACTTTCTATCAATATTCGCGTTGATTAATTGTGTTCTGTCGACTAAGAATGACGTTTTATTCAAGTCTTCATCACCATATCATTAGGATGTAATTAGGGTGAGGTATGGAAAAAATTGAGTTTTTCTTTACCGAAAACAAAATATGTCGCACATGTCCCTCGACAAGCCTCAGCATGAACAACCTCAGATGTGAGTGAGCCTCAGGGTGTGCCCGAGGTGAATCCGCGGAGTGGCTGTCTAATTTTGAGTTTTTTTTTTTCGGTTTGGTTTCCTTCGATATTTCCTTAGCAATTACATCTCGTTAATTATGTATGCTTCATGTTTCCGCCATGTACCACTGTCTTCGTTTGCTGGCACTGTTCTCGTCACATTGCCTCTGGAAAACATCCTTGAATCCAATCTCAACCAATTAGTTTGTGATTCGGAAATAATCCCCAGTTCCATCGCGATGAACATTATGAGAAGATCATCTGTCATGTTCCAGATATAAGCATTAAAACACTGCTAATCAGATGCTCATCTAATATTCTTGTCCTTACACTTTTACCCAGAATAATGAAATAAGCGTTAATAGTTCAGTGCTTCCTATCGAATTTATGGAATGATAGGTTCTTAAGAGCCCTATAAATGTTTTGTTTATCACATAAAATTCATTTGTGAATTCCATTCATTCTGCTGGCCTAATTTCTGACTGAGACAATCAACTGATAATGAACAATTGATCAAAAACGCTTTTTTGCCGTTTCAGGCGCATACGCTGATCGGAATGGTCGTAAAGTGAATATATTGATTGGTTTAATGGGCATCACAATATCTCAAATCGGATTCATGCTACTTTTCACGCAGTCCATTCAGATGCCGCTGTGGTCGATGATCATTTTCTTTGCCGCTTCGGGTACAACTGGTTACATGTCAATGGTACGTGAAGAGTGGATGCATATCATGGCTTGATGAAAATATTCCTGAGAAATTCTATAGCAAATTTAGCGAGATGAGAAGCAATGAAGCAGAATGGAAGATGAGAAAACGACTGTGATTCTCATGAAGCACGTATCTCTCTTTAGGCAATCATTCAAGATATCGTGACGACTCGAACTAAACAAGAATGAAGTCCTTAACATTCACTCACTAATGCTTTGTTGAGCATTTCTTTCTGCCGAACCAGGGTATATAGCAATGATATGTTATGCATTTCTCATTTGAGATAATAATAGCAATAGCGCGATGCCCTTATCAAATAAAAACCTACCAGAATGATCTTATGTATGAAGCAATCAATCCACCCATATCTATCTTTTTGCAGTATGATTGGACGAAAGAAATCCGAATTTGATTCCGTAAGATTACTCATTTGAAAATGGTATTTTTATGATTGCTATTTTTCGCGGATAGAAAGCAGCAATTAACATGATTGTAACATTTTTATGCAACCATTTTCAGATATTCATATATGGAGTGAAATTTTTACGCAGCTTATAGAATTTCAAATAAAAGCAGTCCAATAGTCACCACTTGTTGAAAGTTGGGAGAAGAGACTGAACACATTTATTTATCAAAATTTTATGTTATAATCGAAATTATTTATTAAATGATGCTTTATGAATGTTTTTTTCTGCTTGAAGATTCCCGTTTCTTGTAATGCATATTTGGCCGACATAACGGACGATAACGACAAGCTGATGAT